CCACAACGCTGAGGAGGAGGAGGGAGGCAAAGACGAGGAAGCCGCAGTTGCGGATGATGACGACGACCAGCGGACGCAAGATGGCGACAGCACCGTCGCGTCCTCGGCTGCCTCCGCTGACGAGGCTGAGTCCCGGGGAGGTGCGGGAGCCGCAGTTGCGGCAGCACATGACTCCTACATGCCGAGAGTGTTGTCGTCGCGGAGAACCTGGAAACGGGTGCCCATCATCGAGACAAGCAATCTGTCGGAAAAACAAAGAGCTCTTGTCGACGCATGGGAGGAGAAAACGGAGTTCGAAGCGGGACGGGTCGGCTTCTACGTGGCCAACTTCGGAGGGACTGCAGCTAGACCCACGCAACGCGCGGACGAGTGGGCGCAGCTCCGCGCGAACCCTGCCCAGATCATCGCCCTCTGCGAGTGCGACGACGAGACCTGCGCGGTACTCAGTGGGGAGCACGACGCGAGGGACAGTGCAGCCGCAGTTGCGGACGATAGGTTTCGGAGTCGGACTCAATACAACTACCTGTGCGTTAAGGGCGGCGAGCCATCAGGGACCCTCCTTGTTGGCATGAGGGACCGCAGTGGCGGCCACATTGAACACGTAGACTTTGCGAGACTCTTCCACAAGCAGGAGAAGTCCAAAACGAAGAAGAAGAAGAAACAGTCCGCAGTTGCGGAGGCTCCTGCGCCAAAGCTGCACAACAAGTACTCCAGGGCGATGGTGGTGCGCGTCCACCTGGACCAGGCCGTGCCCCATTTGGGGGGCTCCTTCAACGTCATGGCGGTGCACGTCCACCACAGCTTGGCCAACCAAGACTGGGGCGTCACGAAGCTCCATGAGTTCTACAACTGGTTCGTCGCCTACGTCAGGGAATGGGACGTGAAGGTCTGCATGGGGGACTTCAACATGTGCATGTTCCAGCTTGTGTCCTGGTGCCGCAATTGCGGCCTGACTGTGGACGTCGCCGCGTGGACCCCCTGGAAGACAGCAGGCGGCCAGCCCAGGGCAGACAGCATGGCGATTTTGTTCATAAACTGTCCTGGGCAGTACAAGCTTCACCATGGCCTGAGTGTTCTGCACGACCGTGAGGGCGGATTCTTGACGACCCAGCATGATCCGTCTTTCCCTGTCTTCGACTACACGAATGGCCCTGGGAAGATGCTTCAGACTTACGTGCCCAAGGCTGAGCCCGTTGAAAACAAGATGCGCGCCTTCCTGACGCCATCTGGCGAATCCTTGACCGCAGTTGCGGAGTTCGAGCAAAGGATGGCGCGCAGGGAACGCGACGATTGGGTGCGCTATCCCTTCAGAGTGAAGCAGGGCAACCTCGACGACAAGATATGGCATGGCGCCTTCGGCAGGGCGAGGCACGGAGCGCACTTCCCTCTGGTGGCTTTCACGCACAATACGTGCCGCAGGTCACCTGAAAGACTCGCCGCGAGGTTGGAACGCAGGAAGGGCGGCAGGAAGGGCGGCAAGAAGGGCGGCAAGAAGGGCAGCTACGCGGACACCGCAGTTGCGGGGAAGGGCGTCCGACCCCAGATGGGAACCGCAGTTGCGGGGAGAGACGCTGGGGCTGAGCGAGCTGGGAACACGCCACCGCCGCAAGCTGCCAACGGCGACGATGCGACCCCTTCTTGTGCCGCAGTGGCGGCTGGGTCCTGGGACGCCAGCGGCAGCGGCGCATGGGAGGCGCGCAGTCCCGCCACGAGATGGCAGGGCTGGTCCTGGTGGGACTGGAGCTCGAGCGAATGGGGCGCTGATGGCGCGCAGTGGTGGCCCTCTGATCATGCCGCAGTTGCGGACAATGCCCCTGAGGGCTCGCCTCCTCAGCGTGAAGTCGAGTGGGGCTCGAGCGGGCGACCTGCCGAGCGCCCTCCGTGGAGCTTCGAGGGGCAGCGTTGGTGATGGCCGCAGTTGCGGGCAAGTGGAGCATGATGTTGATTGCCGCAGTTGCGGACAGTGTACGCTGGAAAAAATCATCATCATCATCAATCATAATCATCATCATATCATCATATCATACGTTCAAAGCAGTGCCGGGGCACTGCTTTCGATCGTCGCCTCGTCGCCGTTATAAGGGCTTTCGGATTACCAGTATAAAACATACCCTCTATCCTTATGATCGGCAACACCCCACCCCGATGCCGATCTTCAGGACTCTCTCGGTTTCTCACGAAACATCCCTTAGCTTGTCAACGCTTTTGGTTTGACCGTCTTAGAGATACCGACAAGCCCGAGGCTGCTTAGACCCTGGGGCACAGTGGCAACCCACGCCCAGAAACGCCCTGCTTGCCTCCAGGGTGCCCTGGGCTTCTTGGTTTCCGATGAACTTGCGATGGGAGGCGTGACATTCGAAAACGCAAACCGGCGGCGAGCGAGAGAGGCAAGTGAGAAGGAGAAGGCCTACCCAGAAGGCGGCGGGACTTTTCCGAAGCCCTCGCGACCTCTGACAAGTTTCGTGCGTCGTGGGGGAAGGCTCCGAAGGCTTCTCGGAAGGTCGGGGGGCTCCGGAGCCCTGTGAACAGGCCCGCCCCCTCTCACCTCCCCCCCGTGCTCGCCGCCGACGGAGCACATTCCATGGGCGCCCCAGGGTCTTGGGCTCGGTCTGCCTCTGGCTCAGCGAGCGAAGAACGGTATAAAATGAACTTTTTCGCCGTCGGGGACACCTGCCCCTGGGCGGCTGGACAGTTTATACCCCTACGGTGCCACCGTAAGGGTATAAACTTTCCAGCCGCCCTGTGGCAGGCCCGACGGCGAAAAAAATTATGTTATACCGTTCTTCGCCCGTTAAGTGGCAGGTCCCCCTCGTGGCCGAGCGCCCTGCTGCAGGGGGCAGGCGCCGCGCATCTGCGGGCCCCCGAGAGCGCCAGAGGCGGGGCCGCGCCGCCGGCGGGCCCTCTCTCGCCCCAGGCAGGAGCCGGCGGGGGCGTTGCAGCCACGCGCAGAGGGGGGAGGAGGGAGGGGGGAGGAGGAGGGAGGGGGGAGGAGGGGGAGGGAGGAGGAGGAGGGAGAGGAGGAAGGAGAGGAGGAAGAGGAGGAGGATGAGGGAGAGGAGGAGGAGGAGGGAGGGGAGGAGGAGGAGGGGAGGAGGGGAGGGAAGGAGGAGGAGGAGGAGGAGGAGGCAGGAGGAGGAGGGAGGGAGGAGGAGAGGAGTAGGAGAAGGAAGGAGGAGGAGGAGGAGGAGGAGGAGGAGAGAGGAGGGGAGGAGGAGGAGGGAGGAGGGAGGAGGAATGGAGGAGGAGGAGGAGGAAGAGGAAGGAGAAGAAGAAGAAAAAAGAAAGAGGAGAGGAGGAGGAGGGTCTGCTCAAGCACCCTGCCTCCAGGGGCGCGGGCCTTCATTGAGCTGTGAGGCCGCGCCCGTGAGGAGGAGCTCCTTCCAAGAAGCCCTGCCCCCTCCCCCTCTCCTCCTCCTCCTCCCCGCCTCCTCCTTCCCCTCCTCCTCCCCTCACTCCTCCTCCTCCCTCCTCCTCCTCCTCTCCTCCTCCTCCTCCTCCTCCTCCCTCCTCCTCCTCCTCCTCCTCCCCCTCCTCCTCCTCCTCCTCCTCCTCGTCCCCCTCCTCCGCCCCCCTGTGCGCGCGCCGCCAAACTCTCCCGTGTCTCGGCCCGCGGCAGGGGAACGCCGGCAGGCCCGCTGGCGAACGGGGCGGAGCGGGCAGCCTCTGAGCGGGAGCGGGTCGCAGCCGCAGGGCCCAGTGTGTACAGAGGGCGTGCGAGGGGGCAGGCGAGGGCACGGCGGCACGAAACTGCGCGTGCCGGAAGGGGCGGAGGGAGAGGCCAGTCTCATGTGCTTCGCGTGCCCGCACGCCCTTGCACAGGCCGCGCGCAGTCAGACACGACAGGGCCCTCCTCCTCCTCCTCCTCCTCCTCCTCCTCCTCCTCCTCCTCCTGCTCCTCCTCCTCGTCCTCCTCGTCGTCGTCCTCCTCCTCCTCCTCCTCCTCCTCCTCCTCCTCCTCCTCCTCCTCCTCCTCCTCCTCCTCGCGGCGGGAACAGAAGTGGGACGTCCATATTTTGGTGATCGTTTTCGCGTGCACTGTTTTGCCGCGATCGGCGTAGGCCCTCGCCCATCCCCCCCCCCTAACTATCCTGGCTGTTCTGGGCGCCTTTTTGCTCCAAGCAGGTGGGCGGCTCCCCCATGGGGCGCACGGCCGCAGACAGTCGCACTACGCAAAGGTCCAGAGCGAGACCCCCCCCCTCTCATCCCCGCCCCCTCTCCCCTCACCTTCGCTCAATTTCGAAACGCCGAATAAAAACATGTTCACTTTTGCATTCAGGTCGGTGGCGAGCCCAGGGGGAAAGTGAGAAGGGGCGGGCCTTCTCAGAAGGCTCGGAAGCCCCCCAGCCTTCCGAGAAGTTTTCAAAACCTTCCCCAGAGGCACAGAAAACCTCTTCAGAAGGCGCGAGGGCTTCCGAGAAGTTCCGCCGCCTTCTGAGAACGCCTTCTCCTTCTCGTTTCCCCCCTCGCCCGCCGCCGATCAGGGTTGCCAGAGTCGGCTGTACGGCCCGTCTGGGACGGCCAGGAGGGGGTGATGAGCAGGGGGGGGGGGGAGATCCTTGCGGGGGCCATGACATGTTCCCAGATTTGATGGTGCCTCTTCTTACTGCAGTGCGCCCCCGGCCCCCCCTTGGTCCGCGCACGTGCCGCTGGGCATGCGGCGTGGCTGACGCCCTCGCCTCTTGGACGCCCCCCTCGTGGACGCAGTCCCCCCGAGCCGCGCACCGGGTGATCTAGTATCGTTTGCTTGCCTCCGGCCCCAGGACGAAGCGCAGCACACGAGCAGGAACGCCAATATCCCTCCACTGCGCCTGGCAAGCTTGGGTTTGATGAGTAGCCAGATTGCTCCCGTGGGTCAGCGCATGGGGGAGTCATTGCCGTGTGTTTGGGGGGGCCTCGGTGCTCGCACATGAGGCGTGGGCACGGTGCGACCCGTGCAGAATGCTTTTTGCAGATCTTGTGGAGCAGCGAGTCAGTTGGAGCAGTGAGCAGACAGCCGCCAGGCACTCCGTCGTCACCTCGCCGCACCCGCTGGCACCTTCATCGACCCTGGCTGCACGGAGGTTCAACCTCGTTGCGCCAGCCGGCGCCGTCACGGACTCGGGCCTCGGCGTTCGTCCTTGCTACCCTTCACGGGCCCAGCGCGTCGCTACCCTGGGCATATGACCTTGAAGCGGTATCTTTAGAGTCAGGAGGGGAAAAACACACAGACACAATTAATCGTCGACTCTTCAGAAAATTTGGGGAAAAATAGGTAGTGGTGGGGAAGACAAAAACCCGGAAAATATGAGAAAATACAGGGGGTATGTTTATTTGCGTGTTTTTATTTGTATGTCCCAGGGCCCCTTCAGCTACCCTGGGCATATGACCGTGCGGCATCTTTAGATGTAATTTGGGTAACAGTCCGATGGTTCCTGCGGTCAGGCTTCTGTGCTCCACCCAGCGCCACGGATAGCTCGGGCTTCTGGCAAGGAGGTCGGCCAGAGAAGGGAAGAGTTTCACAGATCGGCAGGCCTGATCCAGCGTGCGGTCACACCCTGCGGCAATGCTGAAGTCGGGCCTGTCCCCCCAACAGGGGGCTTTTCGACGAAACACACCAGACACCTCAAACAAAAACACTCCTCCGGGGACTAGGTTTCGAAGGTCTCTTTTTTTGACCTCTTGGGAGCATGTCTGGGGTATTTTTTTTTCTCCTCGAAAATCTCCCTGTATGGGGGACGGGCCCGACCTAAGGCCGTGCCCCGGTCTGCTCACACACGGCCCCCCCCGGAGGGGGGCCCCCGTCACGACGGCCCGCGCGCGCGGGGGGGGGCGCCGCCGCCCCGCGCGCCACGGGCGGCGGGCCCTCCGCCCCCCGGTGCCCGGCTGGTGGCTGGTCAGGACCGCCTCTTGCCGGGAGGGGGAAAAAACACACAGACACAATGAATCGTCGATTCCCCAGACAATGGCTGCGCATCAAGCCAGGCTAGTCTCGGCCGTTGCGGCACGCATGGGCAAATCGGCGGCCTTCCTCTTCCTGGATCTGGTGGCGGCTTTTCACAGGATCATACGGCAGATGGCATGTGGCATGCAGTATCATTATCATTATTATAATGGGAAACACACGAACATATGGGAGGTGGGGGGGAGGACAAGAGCCAAGAGCATGTGTGAACCTGTGGGGCATCTTTTTATTTGTGTGTATTTGCTTGTGTGTCTGTGGGCCCCTTCCTCTCGGGCAGCGCGTGCGCCGGGTGGCTCCGCCGGGGCTTTGCCCTCTGCGCCTGGTCGGTGGCCTGCTCCGCGGGGCGCTCCGCGGGCGCTCCGTGCCGTGCGCTGGGCGGACCTGCCGGGGCTTCGCTCCGTGCCAGGTTCAGGTCGGGCCTGTCCCCTTGCAAGGGGGGCTTGTCGTCGAAAAGTATAAAAAAACGCACCCCCATAAATACCCCCACAAGGTCAAAAAATATCAAAAAGATAGTCCCCCTAGACTAGGGTTGGATCATTTTTGAAGTATTTTTGCGGTATCTTTTTTTCGCTGACAATCCCCCTGTATCAGAGCCCCGAATCATCAGGGGTAACTCGGGTTAGGGCTAGCTCGGGTTCCCTTTTCGGGAATCCGAACCCGAGTTGCCCCGGGCCCGAGTCACCCCGGATAACCCGGGCGCCCAAATGTAGGGGGGCAGGCCCGGCTTCATGCCAGGCTCGTGGCGCCTCGTGGGCACGCCGTGCCTCGGTCGGGTCCGCCGAGGGCGTCGCCCGGCGGCCGCCCGGCGGGTGCCCACGTGGGGTCCGCGGCAAAAGTTCTCTCCTCCTCCTCCTCCTCCTCCTCCTCCTCCTCCTCCTCCTCCTCCTCCTCCCGTGGTGCCCACTTGGGGAAGGAGATTACAGTGCCGTTTTTAATCCATGCTCCGCGTGCGGATCGTGTAGTAAAAATGTAAGGATCTAGCATGGAAGACAACGATGCGTTCATGCATACATTTATTCATAAATGATTCATGTATTAAAGCTTCTATATTTTCAGCAAGCCTATGTATTAAAACTGCCCTGTAGGCTCTCCCACCCTCCCGGGCCTGGTCTTCAGCGCGAACTTGTTTGGAATGCATCCTAGACATGAGTCTAACTCTCGGAGGTGGATCGACCTCCTACCCTGACACGTCGATTAAGGAATTGGCCCGCGAGAGGGCGTCGCGACCGTCATTTTTGCGTGTCCAGGTCCGTCGGTTTCGGGCCCAGGCCGTTTTCACTAAGGGGAGGTTTACTAAAGGGAGGTTTGCCCACCGCCGAGCCTCATCGTTCATGGTTCATATGAAAGCGCACCAGCCCAGGAGGGCCGGGATCGACCCCCTCCCCCTAATCCCAGCCAGGTGACACAATCCGACCACAATCTGTTATACCATGTGCTTTTTGCGGAATCCTTTTCAGCACATGCCACGACGTCCACACTTGCGCGCACATGTCGAACATCGCAAGTTTTGCATTAATTGCTAACATCAGTCAACCATCTGTTTCCATCGACTATTACTGCAACCTTTTCTGCCCGCGTGCGTCTGCTGAAATCGGAGGCCCACTTCATGGTTTTGGCAACCTCGTCCGGAGTCCGCGTTCTCATCTCACCAAGCGGCGCGTCCGCGTTGATCCAGAATGCGCCGAATCAACGAATCCAGATCGAATTTTTAATTTGCGGGCCTCAAGCGCGCCTCCACGCGCGCGCGTCGAAATCCGTGCAAGACCGTGTGTTTTACGAGTCATATCAAGACAAAGCTGCGCGCGCGCGTCTTCACCTCCCTCATCAGCATCATCGCATCATCGCATCATCGTCGTTACTGTCATCGTCAATCGCCGTCATGATCGCCATCATCAGCACAATCACCTTCATCACCGGCACCTGATGAACATCATCATCGCCATCGTCGCCACCAGTATCGGCGCTGGCTTCGGCCCTGCCGTCGTCATCGTCATCATCGCCACCACCATCGCTACTATCATCATCGTTCCCGCCGCCGCCAGCTCGTTCATTCTATCGCGCCCGCTCGAATCACCGACCCGCGCTGAAGTACCCGCCCGTTGGCGCGACGCTTGAAACGCGTGAGGCCGCTCCCACGGGGAAGCGCCATCGCAGCCGCATCGGTGGTGCCCAGCCGCTGCTCGGTCTGCGCGGGAGCGTGCACGCCCCACGCGCGGCCGCCGAGGTGCGCGAGCAGACTCCAGACGGCGAGTGCAGTCGTGACCCACGGGCGGCCGCCTCCCGAGCGCTGCAGGAAGAGGCCAGGAGGCTCCCGGGAGTGTTGGAACCCGGGGGGCTCTCGTGGGCACGCACCTGTCGTTGCTCCAGATTTCGTAATACAGGGAGGGGGGTCTCAGTTCGGGGGGGGTCTCCTCCAGGCTATCTTGGAGGGCCTGGGGGGGTCTGGGGACGATGTTCCGCAGGGTTCTCCCACGGCGGGGGGTCTGAAATGGCTTGTCTTGGAGGGTCCAGACCCCCTCCCTTTTAGTACGAAATCTGGAGTACGGAACCGGGCCCGGTGGCCCCGCCCCCGTCCGAGGCCTCCGCCGCGCTGCACTGTTCCGCGATGCCTTCCCGCCGCGCTGCCGTGCATTTTTTGTTTGCACTGCGCTGCATCGCTTGGCAATTCCTCGCGTTGCTTTGGATTGCCTTGCGTGGCGTCGCATCGCGTTGCGTTGCGTTGCGTTGCGATGCAATTCTTTGCATCGCATCGCGCTGCTTTGCATTTCTTTGCGTTGCTTCGCATTGCATTGCGGTGCACAGCTTTGCATTGTGTTGCATGGCTTAGTGTTGTTGTGCCTTGCATCGCATTGTTTTGCGTCGCATTATGTGGTATTGCATGGCTTCGCATTGCTTTGCGTTGCTCTGCATCGATTTGCATTGCTTTGCGTTGCTTTGCGTTGCTTTGCATTGTTTCACGGCGTTGCATTGCTTTGCGTTGCATGACTTTTCGTTGCGTTGCATTTCTTTGCATTCCATTGCGGTGCATAGGGTTGCATTGCGTTGCATGGCTTTGCGTTGTTTTGCCTTGTATCGTGTTGCTTGGTGTTGCGTTGTATGGTATTGCATGGCTTCGCATTGAGTTGTCTTGCTCTGCATCGATTTGCATGGCTTTGCGTTGGCTTGCATTGCTTTGCATTGCGTTGCATTGCTTGGCATCGCTTTGTGTTGCATTTCTGTGCATGATCTTCGACTTGCTATGCATCGCTGTTCGTTGGTGCGCATCCCTTTGAGTTGTCTCGAGTTGCTTTGCATTGCTATGTATTGCTTTGCGGTGGATCACGCTGCGCTGCATTGCATTACCATGCATTGGTCAGGATGGCACTTGATTGCATAGCATTGCTTGACATTGCTTTGCGTTGTGTTGCATGAGTTGCAAGACATGACAGCACATAGATTGCAAACCATGTGTTGCACCACCTCGACTGCACCACCTTGATTGCTCCACCTCGATTGCACCGCATACGTTGCAAGAGCTCGCTGTTTGGGGTCCACGCTGGCTATACTGTGTATGTTAGCAAGCGGTGTCCGCAAACAGAGTAAGTCTGGCAATGTGGGTTGTGCAACACATGTGGCGCAATATGTGTGCTGCAATCTAGGGTATACACTCGATGCTATGTGACATTTTCGTGGTGCAATCTATGTGGTGGGATTAATTTCTGTTCGCAGTGAGTTGTCCACTCCACTGCTCGCGCAAACATCCCACCCACCCACCCGCAACTTGGTTTGCAAAATCTCTTAAGACCGTGACGGTGGGTACAAAATGGCACTTGGCAACGACAGCGACGCCGACGACAGCGACAACGACGATGACGACGACGCCGACAACGAGTACGACGACACCGACGACGTCTCCAACGACTTCGACGCCGCCGACAACGACGACGACGACGACGACGACGACACCGACGACGACGACGACGACACCGATGCCGACGACGACGACGATGACAACGACGACGACGATGACGACGCCGACGACGACGATAACGACGACACCGACGACGACGACGACGTCAACGACGCCGACGACGACGACGACGACGACGACGACGGTGGCGACGACGACGACGCCGACGTCGACGACGACGAAGACGACAACGACGCC